ATATAGTCTTAAATAACTTAAAATGATTCATACTTTTAATTTTAGTTACTTTTATAATAATAAATGAAGAATATATATGAAAAACAAGAAATAAACTACTTACCCAATCTTCTTTTTTCTTGCCCTCGATTGTCGAGGAGAGTTAAGCCTGATTTTTTTTAGTGATTATAGTAAAGCACTTAACAATTTTTATTTAATTAAATAATGCACCAAAGAATATATACTAATAACATGCAAAAGTAGACAAATTCACTTACTTTCTAAAACATTTCTTGGCCTTCTAACTGTGCAACAATAGCCATTACAAATTCATCCAAGCTAGTCGTTAACTTTCCCTCGGAAACGATGTTGCTACTCTGAGTGACATTGATGGTTATCTGTTCAGAACACATTATACAGTACGCCATTTGATAGATGAAAACATTGACTTTCTAATGGTTATAGGTAATATATAATGAAATGTAAGAGAGAACTTTCAACGAATTGTGAAAGAGTGGGTGTGGCAGGAGGGGTCTGATTTTCTATTTGATAGCTCTGTAACCAAACAAGATTAAAGGCTATAAAAATTATGGTCTGTTTGGGCAATAATGATTTTATAGAGAGTATTTTACGTTTACTTTCATACATTTTCGAGGGGTGGTGGATAAAATAGGGATGATGACATGCTAGGACAAAATGTATCACGTGTGTCATACTAGTGGAAATTCAGGATTTTTTTATATATTTTCTTGTAGAATTAAGAACTTAAAACTTGAATACTATTAAAATATGGATTATTAGCTAAAATTTTATGCCATTCTAATTGGTATAACATAAACAAAAAGTAGTATAATAAAATTTTGAATGTAAGACACTAAAACCTTGTGTCATGTGCAGTAAATGGTACCCGTGGAAATATCATTAAAACTTAGATAACATAAAAATTAATATTATAACATACTATTTAGGCCTATCTATGGCCTTCAAAAGATGACGTTGTAACGTCGAAACATGTAGAGTAGTCAACTTTTTGAAGACCATAAATAGGCCTAAATAAAATGTTTTTAATTGTGTACCAGTTTAACGTTGAATATTAAATATGATTTTAACTTTATACACAAGTGCCAAAATACTATAATTATTATAACATACATTATAATGTTAATTTCATTGACATATATTGATACTAAAATGGTTTAATTAAATTTTGAATGTGATGCAGCTTTAGTAACTTAAAATATATTTCATGGCACATTAGTTTTTGAATGGAAGGGATGAAGTTCATTTGGTGTTTTTAAAATATTTTATAAATGTTATTTTGCTGTTGCTGTATTTGTTTTCTTCTATTTCTCATTTAGGAGAAAAAGAAACCTGAAAAGAAATTGAATGCAGAAAACAAGCCAAAGGCCAAGAAGAAAGAAGAAACTTCTGATGAAGAGAAAATTAAATCTTCTGTTAAGAAACCAGTAAAGAACAAAAAGTTAGGTTAGTTACTTAGATTACTAGCAGGTTTAAGTTTTCTTGAAGGACAAAAAATGCATTCAAACAAAATACCATTAACACCTTTTAATTTTGGATGCAAGATTTTAGTCTGTAGCCATACTGAACACAGTATGTCAGTGAAATAATCCAGAATTTTTGTTTTCAGGTTTCTTGTTTTTTAATTACAATTAATGCAAATTTGCAGTTGGTCTTTAGAAGAAATAATTTGTGTGTGTCTGCTACTTCTTTTTTGATTTCATAAGAAATACACTGTGTTCATAAACTGTATGACTTTTCTCTTAAGACTTAAAATATTTCAATTCAAATGCAAAATGTTTTTGTTTGACTTATGATTCTAAACAGCAGTATAGAAAATGTGTTAGTGATGAAAAGTATAAACAAAACATTTGTTTTTGCACACAGTGATTAGTTGCCAGTTACAGTACATTAAATGTAAACTAAACTTTCCT